GTTTTGTAGAGAATTTTAAGCGCTTTCTTTTGATAATTAAGACAGCTTTACTTACAGTGATAATAGACAGGAAATCTTAAAAATACTGGGAGGCTCATTATTCCTGGGACACCCGATATAATATAATTTAATACTATAGTGAGTAGTGCAATGCAATCTGCAGGTTCTGAAGGTTTCAAGAAATATTCAGATGATAGTCAAACTGATCGGCTATATTTCATGTATGTATGCATAAAAATCTAAGTGAAAAATTATGAAAAAAAGAATTTTGAGATTCTAATCTATACTCAAGAATCTTTTATAGTAACATCTGGAGAACTTCGAAAACTTTTTTATTAGTATTTTCGTGTTTGAAAGACACAGAGAAAAGTCTGAAAAAAAACTGAAAATGAGAATGGATTGGAGATTAGTTTTCACAGGACATATTTTATGAATAAATTTAAGTCTGTGCAGGAAATAAATATGCAAGATAAATATTTATGTAAATTTCTATGATTATAATAATTTTATATACTTTAAAAATTAAGAACATAAATCCAACTTGAATACTGTTAGTGGAAGTACTTTATCTTTATTTTACTTGGAAAAAAATGAAGTGCTACTTCTATATGCAATGAGTAGGTTTAATTTATTCCATGTATATTTTATTGAATTATAACACAATTTAATCCTGACGTGAATCGATTTTCTCTTCGATAAGTATCATTTGATAACTTGTAAAAGATTCGCGATAAAAAAAATGCAGACAGTGATACTGATACGATTTGACAACTTACTATTCTTTTATAATATGAGGTACGAATATTTCTGTCGATTATTCATGTCCTGTTGACGATGAATGGTATTAAAGCGGCACAACCAGCGCCCTCGGAGTTTTCTTTTCTTTGAAGCACATACTTTCGTGTTGATGTACAAATTTGAAGTACTCAGATTAGTGTGAAAGAAAACATTTGCAATTTCTAATAATTGTTAAAAATAAATGAATGTATAAGACCATAATATTATTGCGCTATTTAAGTTTATGCGCAGCTCCATGTAGATTTTTACGCTTAGTAGTTCGGTAAGTTTCAAATTGATTTAATGATATTTAAAGTAGTGTGAAATTGAAATATTATGCTTACTTTATCATTGTCGATATTATTATCAATAGATCATTATAAGAGAAAACTTATTGAAAAACGTGACTATTTGGTGCTGCTTGTTGCTTTATTGCAGGTTGGAAACTAAGTTATGCTCAGTAGTCTATTGACTGATAGAAACTCAGTGACTTACGTTGCAATGAATCTTTATATATTAATTGATAAGACTTTTCGAAAGTTACCAAAGTATATAGTTTTTAAAGTCGAGGAATATTAATCATCTGAGAAAGATTATTTTCTAGATATAGTTTTATGCATTTTGCACTGATATTTAGTACATTTCTCAGTCGGAATATCACAATTATCATCAAATCGAATAGCAAATTTTGAATTAGTGTCGCTATTATCATTGACCCTTTTTCTCATTTATTTTAAGTATGAGTTCCATTGCAATGACTTTTCCATGTTTAGTCATATGGTATTCGCAGGTTTTATAATAGATTATATATCTTTACTCTGATTGCAACGATTTTTTTCGAGTGATAAGATCTATGAGAAACAAAAAGAGATCATGAAAATACTTGAAATATAGATCTAGGAAATTTATATAATAGATTTTTTTGATAAAGAATTGCATTCAGATGCCTCTCATTTTCGGAATACACTTCACAAGTGTGTACTCATGCGTTTGTCGATAATAGTGAAGCTCTTTGTGAAATAAAGCAGTAGATATTCAAACAACTTGATTAACAAATATCGAAAGTAGAATAGTGGAAATAAAATGCCATCTTTGTTCGATACTTCTTCAACAATAACATTTTTATATCATGTATATATGGACCTGAATCATTTACTTATTGAAGCTTTTAAAAACTCTTGAATCTAGAATTTATAAGAATTTTCTACTTTCGACATTTTATGGTTGATATTTACTAACTTTACTATAAAGATACGTTTAAGCATATTAGAAAATGCGTATGAATAGAAAGTATTCTCTTCTCGTGTTAAACTTGTGTCTAGACGCTTGAGAATTCAGACATATCTAATACATTTCTTCTTTGAAATTGAAATCATTTGATGAACGACGTGAAATATCTATTATTCTTAGTGATATCCCAACTATCATTTGAATGAATAGTTGTTTGTCAGAGATCCATTAGTTGTCAAATGAATCTTTGTACTATGTTTTCTAGAAAATAAATGTTTTATCATCAAACAAATTATATTGATATAGCGAAACAGAAGAATCAAGCTTATCTGACTCGTTCGTGCATTCTCTAATTTCTTGTTCGTAGGAAACTCACTCATCTAGTGTACTTTGTTCAATAGATAGAATTTCCTTCTCATAACAGCATCAATATCAGCTAAGAATAAAGGCCCATTGAAATCGCAGCAGCACTATGTTTTTGTCTCGTTTTGGGACTAAACCAAGTTTTACCAGGTACGTTTAGACGTATCTAAATGGAAAGTCATGTAAAATGTTGCATTTTGAATACATTCCAATGCGCAAGCCTGAAAAGTTCCTCGAAGGATCGTCAATGCATTCGCGGTCTCAACATTTTTTACATGAATAATAGACTAACGATATAAAAATACAATAAATATAATCAATTTTAAAAATCCGAAATTGATTGTTATTGCTTCATAACTATATCCGTACTGTGTTATGCTTTCATGATAAAATCGTCCGAATATGTGCGGTTTTTTCAAAATATTTGAATTCTTGTGTGTTATGCGTGTATGGCTGTCAAATACTAGGAAAATGACATAAGCATTACTATAGTTGTTTCATCAATAAATTAGTAATTGATTCTACGTTATTACGATCAATGATTATTTTTGACGCTTCATTTATATTTATTGAGAGGAATTTGTCTAGTTTTATCTTAAATCCAAATATACAGTTCACCTAGTTATTTAGGCTCTTACGATCAAGATAGTGTTTTAAATGAATTGTACGAGAGGAAAATCTGTTGTATCATCGATAACTCTCATCTCTTTATCTATCATGAAAACAGAATAGGTTCAGAAGGATTGAAGAAAGAGTTTTTTTTCAAAGACGCAATAGTTTGATAGTACAGAAATATATTTGTGCGATTTGATGTCTTCTTTTATATATTGATGAGTTTGCGAAGCATCATAGTCTAAGTTCCCGTTATCTAATGGGCAAATATCTGTGTCTGTGTCTTTTTTCTCTGATTCTCTATTCTTATTTGGCCTATATTTCTCGCTCTATTCAAAAGTAGCGTATTTCTCCGTGCTAAAATATTTAAAAAAGAGAAAATTAATAATACAGAAGCAATTTTTATTGTACATTTTGAAAAGAATCTTGTTAATATACTAATCATCTATATTCTTACTCATTGCATGATGCTTGTATTTTTTTTAGTAGCTTAGGTTATGGCTGATCTTTGTCATCAGAGCTCCTTAGATTGTCGTAACAATGGTTTATGTACTGTAAATATTACGTTCAATACAACTTATTGTGAATGTGATCCGTGTCATGAAGGACATTTTTGTGAAATTGATGTTTGGAGTCAGTCACAGTTCGATACAACATATGTCTACTTTATCGTATTTACAATTGGGCTATGTCTTTCAGTTTTGAATAATATTCTTTCTCTCGAAGTATTCATTGGCTGTAGACGAATTCGTCGCACAAACTGTGGTATATATTTAATCGTCTATTCTATTGCTTCAGTCATGTCAAGCATTGTACTAGAAGCTAGCCAAGCTTGGGAATACTATATAAGTCAACTGAGGATTAGCGATGTGAGTCAATATCCAGCATACAGTTGCTATTTTAAAAAAATTGCTTACTATACGTTTGTCTACAGCTGTATGTGGCTCAGTGCATTCGTTGCAGTTGAGCATGGTTTAATGGTATATTCCGATGGAAAAACGAATATCACTCGATGGCGATCCTTTATTAGTATTATATTTATGTTTGCAATAGCTGTTGCATCTGGTACACCAATGATCGTGTACAATTGTGACTGGAATTCTTTACCACGTTTGAAAATGCTTCGTGGTTTTTTCAATTATTATTATCCTATTACAGGCTTTCTGATTTATGTACTAGCAGCTGTGTTGATCTCAATTAGTTTGAAACGTCGTATACACCAATATGGTACCGAGAATGGTTCATTCATAAAAACATTTCTCAAACTATTATATTTGCATTCCTTCGTTTTTGTACCAATGATTGCCTATATCGTCAGCTATATTCCCTATACTATTGTCATAAATATGAAAAATTCTAATCAATCGTATTTTCAATGTGGAATTTCAACTGGAGAATTTATTATAAAAGTCTTAATAGAAACACTGCAAGGAATACCAACTGTTCTTACGTGGTTACTATTCGTTTATCCATCGAAAGAATATATGGCCGAATTTTATACGAATACATGGTCCGGACAGCGTTTAGCTAAAATTCTTATCTTCTTCAAAGGAAATAGTGATAGAGAAAAGCATCCTTCTCTTTCTAATAAAGACTATATACATAATGAACACAATGATACAGAGCTAACCCATACAAATATTTAATTCGGAGGTTACTATTTACTATTACGTATGATACTCGAACGATATAACTTAATTTTTCTCATCGTAACACGATTAGATACATTTGTTTGCTTCATTTTTTGTCTTAAATTTTGGCTTTTATAATAATAATCTGTTCTAACTGTACACTATTTCATAATAAACTAGAACAAAGCTGCAACCTTCAGATTCCTGACGGTGAAAAAGCAGGTATGACTCGTAAACTCTTTACATGCATTGATTTCATAAATGATTAAAAGATTTAAAAAAATCAATATATTTCGTTTTTCGTGATCTAGCTGACTTTTCTTTTCGGTGTAAAATTTTTAATTCATGAGATGATTGTTCAATAGATATAGTGCAGAATCAGTATCATTGAACAAAATGTACGAAAGCATTGATGGTTAGAAGTGTCTTTGCTATTTTTGAAGTTAAACATATGATATTTGATCTTGATCATGGAAGGGAAAGAAGATTTATTCTCTATGACAATGTTTCTCATTGTAGGTCCTATAATTCCAATCAATAGCTAAAAACATTTGACATAAATCTATATTGATCAGGTCATTAGCTTCTTTTATTCTTCACTTGTAAAACTCATAGTGAGATGATTTATCATACATCATAACTTTTCTTTCCTTCAAGCTAGCAAAACTACTCTAGTTTCGTTAATTTACATGTCTAAAGTAGTAATTATATTTCACAAGTTTTACTATCAGAATGACTGAGCAAGCGATATCATAACATATCTCAAATTATACCCAATATTTAATAAATATCTTATCGATGGTACTTTATTTCTTTAAGGAATCAAATAATTACTCTTGTAAATATAGATATCAACTGTTTTTCCCAAAAATTTTCAATGATCATCATGAGTTCGGTGATTGTTCTCTACTTATCGATGGTAAATTATTAAAAGACATATTTATTCTTTACTTTGATAACTTGAAAAATATTTTTAGGATGAAAAGTGTGAATGTGTGAAGTAGTTGTATGAGAATATGACTCAATCTAATATTCCTAAAATGATAAATCTATGATCTTTACAACAGCGAGTAATTCATTTGATCTACCTGTCTAAAACACAATGTTTAATCTACGCTGAAGTGTATCTATTAGAAAACTGATATCATCTTGGTTCTTACGAAGCATTAGGTATTGCGGTATATATCAACTATCATAGGAAAATAAAATATTCAGACTCCATGTATTATGAGTTTTCGATCTATGAATACTTTATAACTCAGTTTATTTGAATATATTTCAGTTTATTTTAATTCAGAATGTCGATAAGAATGTTGTTCTATTCTTCATTTTTCCATATCCGAAACTGCCAATATAAATTCCATTAACTTTTGGAAACGTCGTTCTATGAATTCTAAGATGCTTAAGTAAACGAGTCTACTATTAACAATATTCATTACACAGATTCAGCCAACTTGGTTTATTAACTAAGTCTTATATTCTGGAATAGATATTTGATATTGCCAAGGAATAATAATATTTCAATATTATGAAAAAATAATCCGCTTTCGATAATATATCTACTAAAAAACTTTTGCATCTCGTTTTTGTCAGATAGTTTACTTTTAATTGAAAATATTACTTTCAAAAAAGACTGGTAGTTTTAAAGTTCACATACAGAGTGAACAAAAAGTAAAGAAATATTTCTTTTATTTATAAAATTAAAAAAAAACAAAAGTTATCCTTATTTACGACACATCCTGTATATACAATTAAATTAGTAGAAGAAAAAACATTATATATTTGGGTATAATGGAACTAATAATATTTGTAATCATATATAATGACTTAGATTTTTTTTAATAATTTTTAGCTGAAATCTATTTTGCCAAAACAAATCTATTAATAAATTCTAGATATTTGTAATAAATGAAATGGTTAGAGTTGATACAATAAAATTTCATAACATTATCCTTAATTGCATGATTTCAATTTGAATAAGAAAAATACAATTTAATGTGAATGAAGCTTGTATGTGTACATGATGATTAACTCCTAGGAAATAGAAGTTTTTTATATGCTTCAATGCACAGAAAAACATTTTTGTTAAACATTTAACTTGTTGTTGAAACAATCATTTTTCTAGTTGAATAAACAGTTTTCCACTACTGATACAGGAAGAAGATGAAAAAAGTTTCTTTTACATACATTTCGATCTTTCCGTTCGAGTATCAGATAGAAAAAGTGCTACAACAAGAGAAAAGAAAAATAATCGAGAAGGAGGAGAAAGAAACAGAGAAAATGATATTTTATATAGCCATACACGTTTCCATTATCCAAGATAGGCAATTTTACTGTCAAAACATTATGAGTCAATCCGAAAAAAATATTCTTATGAGTTATGACATGGTGCCTGGGAAAAGTTCACGTATCATAATATAAATATATCTTTGTACCTAGGGAAATTACCCATGTACAGTATCATTTTCTGTATAAATAATCGAAGACTGTGTGTCAAATTAAATACCAAATATGACTCAACAAGTCTTAATCAGGTAAGCGAATACATAGAAATGATATTCTATAGAATGTTAAACTGGGATATAAAAGTGGTAAAAATGTTTTTGATGTCGAACCTATTCTACTTTCATTGTTCTTGTTTAAAAATTTCAGAAATTAGCTTTTAAAAGACCTCGTTTTTCGCATATATCTGTCGAAATTGAAAGTGTTTTATCTATCTCATAACACTATTAAGTTTTGAAGAAATTTTGTTTTTTCAGTAATTATCCTCTCATTGAATTTTATTACCAAAAGTTCCCACTAATAACTTATGTCTAGTAGTAATTCATTCATCATAGTTACTTTTTTTTATTTAACTAATCTGGAATAATTGAATTTTATTTCAGTTGACTCAATTTGCTTTTTGTTCATTCATGATACAAATTCACTACATACTGTGTTCAATACTAATTGTTAGCATTGTTCATTCGGCACCGTTCACAACTAATACAACTCCAATTGATCTAAAGTCACATAATTACATCGAATATAGCAATCCTTCATTTAGTAATGTTTTGTTGTCAAATGCATCAGTAGATGTTCAAAAACTTTCAGGCCTACCTATTGTTCTTACATCGACCATTGAAACAAAAGAAACCATGAATGATAATCCACAATTTCATTTACTAGAAGAATTGTTAAACTTTGATGATATATCTTCTTCAGCCATCGAAGTCAACCATAAACCCCTCCCCGTAATAGAAGCCCCTCCCATATTAGAAGCCCTCCCCCTATTAGAAGCCCCCTTTAAAGGATTTATCCAGCAAAATTTTCAATTTTTCCCAGCAAAATCTGACCAAAGTTTGCAAGGCCTATTAGAC